TCAGAACTCAGCCTTTTAGTCCCCTTCACAACTAGTTTCAAAACCTCTCACTTCACATTGCTTACAAATCTGGAAACACCTAAAGGGAAAGCTGCTGATGAATGCTGGGATCACCTCCTCATTCTTTCCTTCTCCTTGAGAGCCTGGACTCTGAAGTCCTGGCTGTCTTGATACTTCCCTGAAGACTCTGAACAGGTGTTGGAGCGGGGGAGGTGGTGCACTCATGCGTGTTTGTGTCCAGCTTTTCTAGTTGTCACGGGAGGATAGATCTTCATTCAAGTTACTGTACCATTACTGGAAATGCAAAATCCTCAGTTTGCTTTTAAAAGGATCTTCAGGCTTATGAGAATTTTAAAGTAGCCTATACCATTTCAACTGCCATTCTAATTATTATGAACATAGAGATAAAGGAAAAGGCATCCCACTTTTGAAGACTTCTCATTTCTAGGAGTGTCTGCAAAGTAACTAGAGGCAGAAGTAGGGTTGGGTGCAGAGAAATAAATAGTAAGAAAGGAGAGAGGATGGAGGGGACAAAAAGATCACATGTTTGGAAAAAGAAAAAAATACTGAAGTCTCTTTAAAAACATTTAGAGGATTTTCCCCAAACCAATTATCTGGCTTAATGCTAACTGCTTATTTGCTGACCTTCAAATTTAAAGTGTGGCCAACCCTTCCTGTTTTCATTTAATTTACCCCTGTAGCTGCCGGGTAGCTAAGGAAGAGAAAAACCTTTCCTTGTTTGGTGGAGACAAGCAGCGGTGAGGTAGGTTTCTAAGTCCCGTGGCTACGTTCAGGTCCAGCTTATTTAGGGTCATAGAGTGGGAGCTGGAATCAGGTTGGCAGGGTGTTTCTCCCAAATAGTAGTGCACATCCTCCTTTGACCAGGTAGATAGGGTCCCCTTTTCTCCATCTCCCCTGAACCCCTGTGGCAGCCTCCTCCTTAGCCTGCTTCTCCCCAGTCCTACACCCAGAAATCTACGTCCATGCTAGAGCTAGAGGGATCTTTCTAGATCACAGCTCACAGGGCCTCCATGCTGGCCTTCCTGCCCCCATCAATCTAAGTACCAAGAGGGATTTTTTATAGCATCATGTTACCCCACTCCCAGCTTATCCTAGCTTTTAGGATGAAGGTCACACAACCTATAAGTCCCCCTGAGATCTGGTTTCTGCGTGAGCTTCCCTCCCCCCACTGCTGCCCACCAGGTTGAATTCCCGCCTTGGGAATCCGGCGCAGTCCACCAGACGCCACATGCCCTCTCCACATGGTACAGCCGTGCCTCTTACCTGCGCTCTGGCTGATGTCCCTCTGTCTTTCTCCTCAGCCCAGGGACATCTCCTCTGGGAAGCCTACCAGCCCTCAGCCTGAATCAGGTGTCCTTCCTTTGTGTTCCCAAAGCCGCCTGTGTCTGGGTGCATGTTGCCGTACGTTGTCATTGCTTGCCTGTTTCCCCTGAGTCTAATTATTCCCCGAGGGTCTTTCATGTCTGTTTCCCTGGGGCCCAGCACATTGCCTGGCATAAAGTAAGCACCCAATAAATTTCAAATGGAGCATATGTTAAGTTCCCCATAAAACCTCAGCTGCTGCTAATTCTGCCACCAGTCTGGGTATTCTCCCTGAGAGCTCCTTCAGTTTTCAAAGACAGGAGACTCCTGTAGATTTTTAGCAGGAAAAGGTAGATTCTTGCCTTTCACTCTGTCAGAATAAAAAGATTTATTAGAAACTTTAGAAGCTTCAGTTTGTAGTGGTGATTTTTTTTTAAAGTAGTAAAATTTTAGCGACTGTGGTCTGTGCCAGAGCCCTAAACCTCTTTCTCTATCCTGAGGAGTTCCTCCACTTAATTGCAGTGCTGAGCTCAGGGAAGCTCCACTTGCAAAAATGAAAGGAAACCACTAAATGGTGCTGCTACTTTTCCTTTGCAGCTCAGATAAAACAAGCACAGTGTGGGAAGGAGGGGTCATCCTTTTGGGGGTGTTGGCCTGTGTCTAATTGCTGCAGCCGCCCTTACCTCCACCCACGTCTCAGTGTGGTTTGGGTCTCTTCTGCCCAGAGCTACTGGAACATGTAATAAGAAGCTGCTTTTCAAACTTCTTAATTAAAACAGGCTCATGTAGTCATTGCCCGAGAGCAGCATTTGCATCCCTAGATGTCCAAATTCATCACTCATCCAAAATAAGGTATGCCGTGACTAAGGTTTCCCTCCGAAGCCATCATGGCTTGCATGGCTGCATTTAGAAATAGCCCTGCTTCGAGCCCCTATTTCTTATTTATCGTTTATTCACATTAATCCTAGTGTGTAAACCATTTCTCTCCTCACCCTATGTGCTCTTATGTAAACAAGTAAATGTGTAGGATGCTGTCAGAACCTAAAGCAGTTGGGATGGCATTTAAATAGTATTTGATGGACAAGAAGGAAAGTGGATTTGCTTCTGGTTCCACTTGTTGGCTTTGCGAAGGAAGGTGATTTATTCGAGTTCCCACAGCTGTGTTGCCTCGTCTATAAATTGGGGGCAATAATTTACAAGCCTGGGTATTGTGAGAATTAAGTAAAACAGTGTCCAAGAAGAGCTCGCTCAGTGACTGGGACACCTTTGGTAACCAGGAAATGTGAGGTTACCTCTGGCTCCCCAGATCATCTTCAGAAGGACGACATGATTACTGACTTGTTTCATCATGAAGGATTTAAATGCAAATCTTAAGATCACTACCCTTAAATAAACAGTGGAGAATTTATTTGTAGACACAGTACGATTGCATTCATGCATTCCTCTCCACACCACCAACAATCTGTAAATTCTGGTTAGCAGAGTCAGTAGGCTGGGAGGATGTGGATCCCAGGCATGTGCTTTGCTCCCTGAAAGGACATGGGTATCAAAGGTCTGTTCCTAAAATCTGGAGTTCAAGAGGATTTTCTGGAAATGGTTTGTCTAAAGCCTTCCTCGTCACTCCCCTGGAGAGGTCCTGTATTTCATTTATGCTGAATAATTGGCTTTATTCCCAGCTGAGTGCTTTCCTGAACACACATGTAAGTCATCTGCCAGTTGCTCAGCCTCCCACTGCTGGAGTCATCTGTGCCCCTTACCCTGTCCCCCATGCCCCGCAGCTCAGCAGCCACTGGCGTGGCAACATCTGCCTCCCCTTCCCATGACACCTTAGCTTGCCCCACCATCTCCTCTCCTGGGCTGCTGCAAGAAGTGTCTAATCTGCCCTCCAGTGTCTCTGAGCATGTTCTACTCACTCCCCCTTGTCCCGAGGAACTCGGGAAACACAAGGTTCCGTGGACCAATAAACTTGGGACCACCACCTTCTCAGAGGCAATGGCATGAGAACAGAAACAACAGAATAAAATCCTCTTTAAATTTGTTTAACTTGGTGTCCCCCAGCTTATTTAATCACATTCTCTTATCTACTCTGCCTCCAGGGAGCTGAGGTTCCTAGGACCCATCTTGGAGAATGCCACAACAGTTTGTGGATGGACTGCCACCCCCTCGCTTGTTAAAGTAGCTTTGAGCCCAAACATGGGTCAGTAAGGGCATCCAAATGATGACATGCTGTATGTCATTAAAAAGGAGGTGGTACTGACAGGCCGTCTCCTGGATACATGCTAAGTGGAGAAAGCAAGGTGCAGTGTGAGATGAGCTACCACTTGCTGCATATGCTTAGACTGGATGGATACTTAAGTATCCCTAAACTGGCAGCCATGTGCGTCTCTAGGGAGGAACACTGAGTCTTGGGGGGTGGGGAGACCAAACTCTTCCTCGCATGCCTCCTGAGACCTTCAGAACTTTCTACCATTTTGAACACAGCACCACTCTGCTCCAAACTCCAAACACAGAGAATAAATAGTGTGACATCCTTGGCTCTGTGCTCATGGCCCTGAAGGTGGCCTTGCCTGCCTGCCCAGCTTCTCTTCTTGCTCCCTGCCAGGGCCACGCCCACTTCCCTCCTGCCCAACACCCCATCTCTCCCCAGGGACTTGGCTGTTTGTGCCACTTTCCTTTGCCACTTCTCAGATTTGCCCTGCTCCACTTGGAAGGCCTTGGAGCAGCCCACCCCCTGTAGAGCACGCTGGCTCTGAATGCAGAACTCCCTACTAACTTTACTCCTGCTTATGATTCTGACTCATCAGACTTGGGGGGAGGGGGCTATAGTCCCCAGGAGGCACGCAGCGGGAGGAGTTTGCATGGCATTCTGTGCAGAAAGGCCAAGAACTCCGGGGCTGAACAGATGTCACTCAAAATCCTTACTAGCCATGTGCCCTGGGGAACATAGCCTTGCACCTTCCTTTTGTGTACAATGGGGGATAATGAGCCTTCGCTCACAGGGTTTGAGCATGTTGCTCATCTCCCTAGAACACCTAACGCAGGTGCTTGGCATCTTGTAGGTGTTCAGGCCATATTTACTCTCTTCCTTTTCTTTCCCATTGCAACTGTCAATCTACCATTCCCCTGGGTCTCTAGGTTCTTGGATTTCAGAGGAAAGATCACAGGCCAGAAGTCAGACTTTCATCCCTGGATCCACTGATGACTAACTCTGTGACAACACCGGGCCCTTCAGTGTGTTTGGGTCCCCTGCCCCAACACAAAATCCATATTTATCTCAGTGCAAAAGAGCTTTGATCATCAAAACACTGTGAATGCAAAGGGTTAGCAGTGTGAGTGCAGATGCTCTCCTGCCTCCCGACTGGCTTCTAAGAATATTTGGAAGATGAGTAAAGTAATGTCTTCCATATGCTCAAGAGAAGATGATTTAGGAAAGGCAAGGCAAGGTACGGAAGAAAAGCCCCCACCCATCAGTGGAGTCACCTTAGACAAGACGCTAACAACACCCTAGGCCCTAGTTGCCTCATTTGAAATATGAAAGTAACAAAATCCTACCTCACAAGGGCGATTGTGAGGATCACATGAGGCAGCCCATGTGGAAGGTCTTTGTAAACTGTGAAATGCTCCACAACTGTCAGCCAGGATTAGTAATTAATGTGCGTATTTGTTTATTGTTTCAGCGGAGGGTGCAGGACGTCATCAGCCCTATCGTGTTTGAAGCGGCCTACAGCCTCGGCGAGCATGTGACTGGAGAGGAGGAGAGGGAGCTGCCAGCCCTGACACCAGTTCTCCGCTGGAAAAAGGGACAAAAGATTGCCCAAAAGAATCAGGTCAGAACCTTAATGCTCGCAACCAGGACCCGAGGTGGTAGGTGCACACAGCGGGAGTAATGGCCCAGAAGTGGAGAGAGCTGTGGGGCTGGCGGCCTGAGATACTACAGCAGGGCACCCCCCTGGCTGGGCCGCCTTTTCCTCATCTTCAAAATGATAAAATACATGATTTGCAGGGTTGCTTCTAACCACTGTGGGATTTAAACGTATTGAGACAATTCTTAAGGTATTAGAAAGTTATAATTCCTTTGACGTCGTGAACTGGCCACTTGGCCCCTGAACTTGTCCCCTGTTCCTAGACTGTTTCCAGTGCTTAGGTTGGTGCATAGTAGGTACAGAGAAGGGTTTGAGGTTTGAGATGTCCATCCAGGTATTCAAGTGAGATTTCTGCCAAAGTGTCCCTCCCATTTTCTCCCAAAGTCTCTCCCACCACATCTTGGGTCTCAGGTTTCCTAGAAGCAGAATCTGAGATAGGGATTTGGGAGCACGTGGTGTAATGAGGCTGTGCTCTTGGGCAAACCTGAAAAGAAAGACTGAACAAGGATGTGGTCTCAGCTGAAGTCTAGCTGGGGGACTCTATAACATACGTTACACCAGAGAGTTGTCCTCTCCTTGAGGCAAGAGAACTGGCCTTTTGTACCCCACATAAGTCAGCCATTGGGTGTGGGTGTGGAAGGGGAGTGGAGCCCCCCTTGAAAGAGGCTCCCTTCACCTGAGGACAGTTCTCTGGAGAAGAAAGCAGGTGTGAGTTGTTAGCTGCCTACACTCGCATCAGCTAGGGGATGGCCTGCAGTTGACAGTGCCCACTCCACATAAACGCACAACCTCTGAGAAATACCAAGAGGTTTTGATTGAAAACACAAACTTCTTTCAAAGCACAAGTGCCCCAGGTGGGTGGCCTGTAAGTCCTGCTGGTCATTGATAGTTGGAGCAGGCTCTGGAGGAGTGAGAGAAGAGACGGGGACGGGGACGCAGGGTATCTAGGTGGGTGGGCAGGGAGGAGGGGCTGGCCTTAGGGTGAAGCACGAGGAAGGCAAGGAGAAGAGAAGAAGATAAGATGAAAAGGGAAGGAAGGGAAAACTTCTGCCTTGACTGACAAGTAGAAATTGATGTCCCTTCTTGAAAGTGAAGTGGGGGGAGTGGCCAGCTTGGAAACTCAGTAAATCATAATTGTGATAACTCCCAAATAGTCTCCAGTCCTAGCATTACTCTGCTTTCTAAGGTGAAACCTTGCTAGCCTGATACACTCACCCATATTTCTGTTATGAAAGGGTCCAAACTTGGGGTACCAGGAATCATTTCAGGGTCCTCTCTGCTTGTTATATCTCTGAACTGACCCAGTGACGCAGTTGTTGACTCTGTTCAGCATCTTGCTACCCCTGGGTGTACTTTCTGCAATGAACCCAACTTGTGTTCCTGAAAATCCATCAGTAGCACAGATGTGAGCCTTCTTTAGTGAAGAGCATCTTAGAACCATTAGTGACACTTCTAGATTTAAGTAGCCCAATCAAAGTCAGAGCTGCAGGGGCAGATTAGTATCCAATGCTGTTCCTAACCACCTCTGGTTATGTTGATGTCTGCACCTTCTGAGACCCCATTGCAGTGACTGTAAATGAGTAGATCATTTATAATCAGAACAGGGAGGAGAATACTGCAGGGGGGTGTAGCATCAGTAATTTTCTGTATTGACTATATTTCTATTTAGTCATATCCAGTAATTTCCTGGAATGAGTAAAGAAGATGGCAGAGTGTTGGTGGGTGAACTTTAACTAAACATAGAGGAACTGAGTGGCCCACTACCAGAGAAGCTGCAGCCACAGCCACACCAGAAATTACAGAGGGGCAAGAGTGAGAAGGAGGGCTGAAAATGGGGATGGGTGGGAGGGGTCATTGTTAAGTGAAGGTCATTGTTAAGGAAGAGTTAAGAGTTGACTTTTCGCCCTTGTCCTCATCCCTGCATGCTTCAGGCATGTGCAATAGCAAGCAGCCAGGCATCTCCTTCTCTAAAGAGTC